CTTTCAGTCTGCATTTATACTTCTCTTTCACCTTGTAACTTCATCTTGTAACTTCTCTATTCTTATACGCTGTAACGCAGTGGTAGACACAGATGTCCGATGCCGCCAACGCTTGAAAAGACCATTAATTCGACATAAGACCAAGTAATATCCGTCCCTACGTCGGACCCCCGGTAAACCCTTGTATCTACGACTGCGCTCCTCATTCTTTCATCCACAATTACGAAATCTATCATGCTTCTATCATCACCTCTTTCCCATGTATCATGTGAATCTTCTTATGACGAAAAAAAGTAATCATCACAAAGAGATTCTTTTCCACACATACGGTGAGGAGGTCTTCACCATTCTCATTTATACTTTCATCACCAAACGTTCCCAATATCCTTTCATAACCAGACCTCCTCACCCCAACCCTTCCATTAAAGTCTCCTGACATAATAATATTTACATTTTCCTTACATTTTGTCAACACAATCATCGAATCTCTACCATGTCCCAAAACTGCTCTCGGATGTAAGTGGGCTTAGACATGTCTGGGGCGTACACCCCTAGCAAGAACAGCTTCTTTAAGCCCACTTTCATTCGTATCCATAGCAGCCGCGGGCTTACACATTCATACTCTTTCACACATTGACCCATTCTTTCTGAAAGTATGAAACCGACTCCCTGGCATGCCCGTTCGGTCTCGTCTACACCAGACCAATACGCGGTATACGTGCCATGTGCTGTGGCATCCTTTCCCTTTCGTTTCGTCTCATTTACACATAACATAACATAACATAACACATCTATTCCTCTGTCATTCATCATTTCGCATACTTCATCCATCTTATCATTCATTGCTCCACATACATTCAGCGTATCCAGACGGGCTTCCGCAATCCACTTTTCGCCCCTCCGGGAGACAGGGTACTATATTATATAGAAAGATCGGCAGCCATTATTAAAGATGTTGAAAATATCATGTAAATTATCATTGTGTAAGTAGTGAAAATTTGTAAGGTTACAATAAATACCTTAAAAACTTCAATAGCCTATCGATTAAGATAAGTGTACACCGTAAAAAGATCGCGAGTGGATGGCATCTAGCATAAACATTAGCTTGGTAATGTTAATATTATTGATACAATGTTCTTTAAATCAAAATAAGTAATACGAAATTGTATAAGGTAAATATGTCCCAAATATTAATATAAATGTTTATATTTGACGTATTTAAAAAAACATAATTATGATGACAAATGCAAAACAAACTTGTTACGCCTTATAAAAGTGCGTACGTACATATGCAAAAGCATTTCCACATCCATCCATTGAACGCTATATTTTCATCAAGAGATTACAGTCGTAATAAAAAAATTAACTTTTTAAAAATGCTCTATTCCAATTTTTTTAACTTTTATACAGAAAATCATCGATCGATATATTAACATCTTGATCCATCAAAAACGACGTAGCGTACCCTGCAAGTGTTGCACTCCATCAATAGAGATGTCAAACAAAGCAGAGAGCTCATAGTATTACCACAGTATAATAATATAGACTGTGGTATTACTGCAAACGAAAATATCATGCGCGTGGGCAGCCGCCGACGCCTCCGATTGGCCGAGGTATCTGGGACTACGAGAGGCCCCCTCCCATTGGCCACTCCTCGGAGGCAATAATTTGGCAGAGGACCAAGTGGGAGGGACCCGATATGAAATAATATGATTGCGCCAAACAGACGCGATGCGGTGCTTCGTCAACGAATTGCATGATAATTGATAACAGTCGATAGTAGCATAATTACACTAGGTAATTAACGGTGTGTTTATAAAGTACTTAAAACCGGCTTTTAAATGGAGAGAATACAACTTAATGTTTTTTTTATTTTTATTTAAGTGACAAATTATATATTTATTTCAGACGTGAATCTATAAAGTATTAGTAATTATTAGTAACTATTGTTTTTCTTAATACTCCTATGTTAAATAGCGGTCATTTAATAACGTTTAATATAATAACAAAAAGACGACGGGTTGCAATCCGGGAGTGCCGGCAGAAGTGAAAACTTGAATATTAACGTTGTGCATTTAATTTAAATTTGACATTTTGAAATCATTAGGGAATAATTTTGCACGAATTGCTTTAATTATCACACACGAACATTCGCGCAAGGCCTGCGCCGAAAGAAAGAGAGAGGGATACTTCCTCTCCTACGCCGCGCCGGCTCTCTCTCTCTCCATCCGTCTTTGAAATTTTCGATCAGCGTCCTGACGCGAGTTTAACATTTTTACTCATTACAAGAAAGTTTACAACGATTTAATTAAACGTTAAAATTAGTTTTATAACCCCTGAAGTTTAACCTATTTAATAAAAAAAATAATCAAAATTGGTTCATAATTGACGAAGACACCGCCTAACACACAAAAACACACAGCTGAATTATAAACCTCCTTTTTTAAGCCGGCCGAAAATGCCTAAAATGATCAAAAATTTTATTAAAATAGACTTGCAAGTGCATCACCGCACATTCCAATCCATACTCGTTTACGAAGAACAAAACAATACAGTAATCGAAGTTGTTATCTTTAAATAGAGTACTGAGACTTACTCGAGCGGTTATAGGCGCTAATTAACCACAAAACGTTGGATTCCGATAGGATTTATCTAAGGATTTTAGACGAGGGTTTGCGAGATCACGTGAAAAGCGATCGTAATGATTGTGGTTGTGCTTGCCAGGATCCAGTGTATATTGGCGAGATATTGTACATTTAGCCTCGTGTTCAATGTTAGGTTAAGTTAGAAAGGGCATAACAAAAGTGAAGAATTATTTACTTATGTGTAGTCCAGATATTTTTCAATTATTTATTTTAGCATCAAATCAAAACGGATGTCGTGGGTTCATGAATCTACAAAAAAATAAACAATGAATTAAAGATATTAAAAATTAATTATCTAAGATCCGCACAATAAATAACATAATGAGTCTTCCATAGTTTGAGGAGCACCTCCTGCCCTACCTCAATTGTGTGAACTAACCTCGACACAACAAATTCCAACACCACCAACGATTTTAGAATGGGTAAAATGTTACCAGATTGCGTCATCAAAATGCTGTAATAGCAATTTATCTGTAGCTATAAGTATGGCGTGTATTAATTATTATGTCAATTAAGTTAAGTTTAAATCGACTACTGGCGTGAACCACTCGTAACACAAGCAATTTAAGCTTACCACGAGTACTTACGTTTATTCTATGATAAAAAAAACCAACCGCGCGAACATAGAGTAGCGCACATTTTTTGTTTGAAATAGCAGTTCTAGTACGTAAGTACATATTACTTCAATGATTATAACTGATATATTAAGAAAAAAAATAGCAGACAAGTCTTGACAATAATTAGGAGTACTTCGTAAAATCAACTTAAAAAAACGCCCTACTATCAACTATCAACATGAATATGTTAACTATAACTCAATGTATGTCAAAATGGCGCGGCGTCGATAAAGCATCGCCCTTTTGATCCTTTATTATTTGATTGACCGATGAAGAGCTGTTGTATGACAAAGCCATCTAGTTTTTGAGTTATAAGAAAGTCATATGTTTTGATTAATAAGTAAATCATTTTAAAATGTATATAATTGTTGTTCGGATAGCCAATAGATGTAAAAATCAGACTAAGTAATGTTAATGTTTTAATTTACAAATTAAGAAATTTCAATATTTATTAATACTTACTACACAAATTATGTGAAAATCTAAAAAATAAACACTATTATTTCTTAGTTTTTAGTTTTCACTTCTGTCGGCAGTCATGATTGCCAGTTTTTTAATTACATAATTATGGCGTCAGTAACTGCATATTAAAAGCGATAAGATTTTCCCGCGTTAAAGTAAAGATGGCGCGATAAAATGGCGCGTGATACCCGGCGCGCGGCGCGCGGGACCACCGGCGTGGACATTTGCATAAAAATTCATCCACACGCGCCTTAATTGATTGCGTACGTACAGTGCATCCCGCAACTGTAAACTTTAATTTAAAAAGGTTTTAATAGTTTTAAAAGAATAATGTAGGTATTTTTACAGAATAAATTGACAAACGGACGCATAGTGCGGATATGATAGACACCAAAATCTTTGTCACTCTTAAGAATCAAGGTAGTATGCCTCGTTACCATTAAAAAAGTTATAGCCACTTACCATATAAAATACAGTAAGTAGCATTTATGATACTACTTTAGGCTAGTGCTCTGTGCGAACGTGGTCCTCCCTCAGTCCAACGAACTGTTCGTGATGCAGCTATAATACAACGGTAACTTTGTAAAGCACAGCTACAAAAAACTAGTTGGTGTATATCATACTATAGGGTAAACTAGCGTAAATATGTGACTCACTTAATTCTGTGATAATATGTTTTGATGCTTCCACTGCTTTATAGGAGCAAAATTTACTACTTTAAATTCAACTTTGTGATAGAACGATAAGGCTTCTTTTTGTGTATAAAATTTTGTTCAATACTTGTTAGACAAATAATAACAGTCACGTGATTTGTCATTTCACCCGCCATTTTTGCTTCCCAGCGGCAACGTACGTCTTGAGTTGTGATAATTAATACATTTTAAATGAAAAACATAGGTGTAACTTTATGAAATTTGGTGAATCAGTTGTTGAAAACATATAATTGCTGCCACTGTGAATGGTTTTGATCAATTCTGATTAATATTTGAATAATACCTTATCTACTGGATTCAAAAATTAACGATTTTCGAGATTTAAGCGCGAAACAGTGTCACCGAATTAACGAAGGTAAGTGTGATGTTTTTCTTATTCTTATATTAATAGTTTTAGTTATTGTGACTAATATAGTAAAATATATTTTAAAAAATATTTTTAATTGTGATATAAGAATAGCGGCCGTTTTCTAGCTTTTTTAAAATTTTTGTTAATTTTTATGACGTTTTGTTAGTACTTTTTATCACGAAATTAAGTGAGTTGTTATGTTATTTCAGACACCATGGAGGAAAATAAGAATTCGAAGAAAAAAAACAGAAAATATAATGAGATAATGTTAAAATCAGCCATTGAAAGTGTTTTACAGTCAAAATTAACTTTGTACATGGCATCAAAGGAATTCAACGTGCCGTGGAGTACATTAAAGGCCAATGTTGAACGAGTTAAAGAAGAACGCAAGCAGGGAATAACACAGATTAGGATGCTCAAAGTAGGTAGACCATTTTCTTTGTCAGCGAATTTAGAACAAAGCTTACTGTCATACATTATACAAATGCAAGAGCTTGGATTTGGCCTTACTGTAAACCAGATAAGACAAATAGCCTTTTCACTTGCTGAGACAGCTGAATGTAAGCATTACTTCAACAAAAGCAAAAGATGTGCTGGATGGAATTGGTGGGTTAGTTTTAAAGGTCGTTACGGTTTAAGTTTAAGGATTCCGGAAAATCTTTCATCCGGTCGTGCTATTTGCTCAAATCCCACAATATTAGCTGATTTTTATGAAAAATTAGAGGCAACTTTAGTTAATCATAACTTGTTGGATTGCCCAGATAGAATATGGAACTGTGACGAAACGGGTCTTATGTACGTCAACAAACCTACTAAAATTGTCACCAAAATAGGAAAAAAATACGTATATAATCGAACATATGCTGAGAAAGGCACTACAACTACAGTGCTAGCTTGCATTAATGCAGCTGGGCATTTCATTCCCCCTTTGGTGATATTTAAAGGGGTAAGAAATATCCCTGGACTATCGAATGGGTCTCTGCCAAATAGTTTAACGCGACTGTCGCCAAAGGGCTGGATAAATGCAGATTTATTCTATGAGTGGTTGAAATTTTTCGACCGAAACATTCCTCCTACAAGGCCGGTTATGTTGATTATGGATTCACATGCGAGTCATATAGCTCCAAAAATTCTTGATTATGCTAAATCCCACCAGATAATATTATTTACTATGCCTGCTCACACAAGCCACATTTTGCAACCACTGGATGTTGGAGTTTTTCGACCACTTAAAGCGGCATGGAGAGCAGAGTTGCAAAATTATAAAGTAAACAATCCCACCTCAGTACCTACAAGATTTGATTTTCACAAATTCCTGACACCGGTTTATGAACAATGTTTTACGCCTACCAATATACGAGCAGGATTTAGAAAAGCTGGAATATATCCAATAAATAAAAATGCTGTATGTTCAGAAGCTATTGCACCTTCAATATTATCAGATCAACCTGTTCCTACATCACAGTTCTCTATGGAAGAAATAATTATCGGTCAAGACTACGATGTTGATATTCCTCAAGCCGAAATAATAAAAACTAATTATGATCCCCTTAGTGAAGGAGCAATCAACGAGAAAGACGCTAGCAAACCTTCAATCCCAAGTATTAGTTCTATTGCCGAGGCACAAATTGAAAATAGTGCTCCTTCTGAGACTTTGCAAATGGAATGCGAGTTAGAACAAGTTCCGAACTCAATGTATAATATAAATACTGTAACAAATAATATAACCATTGACGATATACCGAGACCTATTCTTCAAAATAAAAATAAAATTGAGATACACGACATATTAATATTACCAAAATGGAAACCTAATATAAAAACACGACAAAAGAGAAATGTTCCCAAAGCTCAGTGCTTAACACCGGTCGCCACAACATCATCTACAAACGTATCTTTAAGACATGTCCGCCGAACAACTTTTAAAAAAAGAAGATCAAAAAGTGAAAGATCGGCGAACACCACAACCAAACTTAAGAAAACAAGTAAAAGAAAACGTCAAACAAACTTCTCAACCATTAAATAGATTAAAATCTTCAATCTCGGATGATGAATGGGTTTGCCGATCTTGCAATGGGCTGTACTCACAAGATGTAAAGTTACAAAATGGAGCCGACTGGATTACATGTTCTTTCTGTACTAATCCTTATCATATCCATTGCCAAAGTCAAATTATAGGTGATAACCAAGAAGTTTTTATGTGTGATAGTTGCAGCATTGATGAATCTAGTGGTGAAGAGTAAAATAACATGAATAATAATAATAAGAGTATCTTAAAATATTTAAGAAATTCATTGAATTCTTACATAAACTTTTTATTATTAATAATTAAAAATGTACAAATTTATTCCTTGTTTCTTAGCTTTTAGTTGATTAGTAAAATAATTTTTAATTGGAATAAATTTCGCGAATTTTGTGAAGATTAAAAATAAATACTCACCTAATTCTGTTATATCACAATTAGAGTAGTACCATCACCGAATTAAAGTGATTGTCACCGAATTACACAAATCATCAAGCTATGCATAAAGTTCATTTACTTTAGGTTTATCATTTGAAAAATATGATTACTATTGCTCATATGGTAAACAAAAGTGTGGTTGATTCTCTTATATAAAATAAAACATTTTTATTAAGTTTCACCCGATTTTTTTTGCAATATTCTGTTTTATCACAGAATAAGATGAGTACACCCTACAGGTGGTAAAATTAAAATTTTTGTACAAACGACTTCAATACGACCAAGTCAATGTATTCGAAGTCAATTAAATACATCTTGATTAAAAAGAAAAGCACCAGCTTTCAGATAAAAAAGAATCATCGTAATCGGTTCACCCAGAGAAAAGTTATAATATATATACACGTAAAAAACATACAATCGATATGTATACCTCCTTTCTTTTTAAGTCGGTAAAAAGATTTTGTTACGTTAAACAAGTTGATATAAGATTCTGCCGTTTCTGTTAGGTATATTATTAGGTATAACTAGTCACGAATATGTAACGTAAATCGTAGACTATGTAACCATTTGGGAATCATCCGAATTATAATGCAATAAAATTAAAACTCTATTCTAATTCTTATTACAAATCTTATTTACTGGGCTATTTTTGTCTAGAAGTCCGTCTGGGTAGACACAACCTTTTTACCACCAAGCTACAGTGGCTGCGTTGCTGTATTCTAGTCTATAGGATATTCTATACAGAGAGCCAGTATAACAACAGGCTGTGAAAAATTCCACGTTAGGTGACATCGCATCTACGGCCTTTAAACTCAATTTATTAATTAAACACCCTATTAAATATTCAAATTTATCAACTAATTATTTCGAACAAGAAGCAGAAAATTATCCATTTCCAATCAAAAATTAAATTGAATTAGAATTTGAAAAATGTCTGATTATTTTGATGAAAAGTCGATAAAAATAAATTTGAGGGCAGACAGCTATAAAATATATTTAATCTTCAATCGACTAGCTTGAGTTTTTTTATTAATTTATAGGCCTTTAAAATGTTTAATTCGGTAATGTAAATACAAATGATTTAACATAAAATCAAGAAAATAATTTCTAACGGCACATCTTCCAGTCTATCAGGGGCATACTCGTAGAGCAAAGAAGAACAATGCTGAAGGATCGCCTCATAGGTCTTTTAGATAGAAATTAGCTTGAATATGCAGGTGCCGTTAAGATATATTCTTACGAATAGTACAACAAACACCGCTTAACTTTGATCTCCATTAAATTAATCATTAATTAATCACGGGTTCCATCAATCAGTACAGCTATATAAAGCTATTAAGATTAAAATGCTATAAAATTTACAAACAGTATGTCCATTAAAGCTTTTAAAATAACCATTCCACTGTGGCGTTCCTTGAAACTTTTATATTTTCAATCTAATGCCGTGTGGTGGCTCTAGAATAGAATATAATAATTTTAATTTAATATGAATTATAAAAATACTCATTGAAAGTCGTTTAAACTTTACCACTGGTTTGGAAAAAGCCTCTTTTCTGGGAAGAACCAGGAAAAAAACTCAGCGGAACTTTTAAGACAATCCATCTCCACGTTTCTTACCGTGGGTGATGTCAAAGTCAAATTCAAATGTATATTAAGTTCAAATTAAAAATTGTTCAAAATTCATTTTTGAAAGTTAAAAGATAACGCCGTCGCTACGACAAGCTTCTACTGCACGGGTTCTCCAACTCATTTATAATGCGCCCCCTTTCTACCAAAAAAAAAATATCCGTGTCACCTTGCTCAGATAATTTTAGATTACTATCAGGTTAGAAAAAAAGTTCTGTTCAATAACATCAAATTTGTAATTCTTAAAAATTCCACAATATCATACAAAAACTGCCTAATTGTATAATACTACTTTTTAATATTAATTCGAATGTGATGGATAAGTTTTCTTGGTCTTAACTAGGTTTCCGATTCACGGCCTAACCACAGAAATCGCTCAGCACAAAGCGCTATCGATATTAAGAGTAAGTTTGTTCCTGTCATTGTTACAACAGCATAAAATCGCTTTTCGCTTGTGCGAAGAAAAAAAACGGTAAATACAATTATTTAAGTGCTTACTCTGCTATTTTGGGATAAATTGTAAATTTTTTGATCAACAACATTGTTTGACTGATTTTTTTGGTGTACTTATAATGTAACTAACTACGGACATTTCTTGGTCGTAAGGTCTCTGCACTCCCACTTCGAAAACTTTTGCTAGGTGTCATAAGACTGTGAAATATCCCAAAAAGATCTTATGATTTCTGATGAATTAGCCGTACAGTAGCCCAATGGCACCATGCGGACAACGAACTAAAATGGTCGTGAATTCAAATCTACTATTTGCCTACTGTCGTAAACCACTCCTAACACAAGCATCTTAAGCTTACCAGAAGTGGTTAAGGGAAATGTTAGTAATGTCAACAGCATTCCTAGCATTATGTTTCTATAAAAATATATTTATCAAAAAATATAGATGGTGGTATATACATTATACACCTCATTCGTCCAACGTAGAATACCCAGAATGGCGACGGAAACCACCTTCAAAGGTGGACGTCTGTTACTGCGATCCTCAATCGGCCTATAAAGCGTGACGGTTAACTCAAATCCCCCCCAACAATGGGGGAGGCTCATGTCAGGCAGAGAACTTTAACGGACCGATAAAGATGAAGAATCTAATATCTATTAATGTTTGTGTTGTTGCGGGAATCAGTCTATCTAATCGTCTCATGAGTATCGTTATTATGGAATATAATGATAGGAATATTTTCTAATCTTTTCTTGCTTATTTTGTAAATGTATTAAACAGTATATCAACAATATAATATCATCAATATCGATAACATCTAATCCAAAAAGAGAAATATTTGACTAAATCTTTTTTCTTATCTAAATATAGGTATATTTTATATAAACGTTACCCCGACACTAGATTTTTCTCATGTATTGTGCAGGCAGTTTACGTACATAAATTTCACAAGGACAAACATTAAGACAAGGAACACCAATTTGTAAGCCATACAAACACATGTTCCGTGCAGGATTCGAAGCCGCGGCCTCAGATCTGTAACTCAGTGCTAAGCACCCGCGCCACGAAGCCGTCAAATCTTATCACTATAATATAATTATTTGTCAACTATACCAAGAAATAGTAAGAAATAGTTTTCGGTTCTATGATAAATAAAGAAAAAAGTTTCGAATACAAAACCACCAACTTCGGACTTGCCCGTAACTTAACGAGACTGCAGTCGGCACTTGAGTCGCCGTCCGTACACCGCCGCCAACAATTAGAGCCCACTTTGCCTCGCCTTTTAATTGTCTACTCTGCACCTTCCAGGTTTCGTGGTCGTTGCTATATTGGACGGCGCTAAATTTGAGCAGATTTAATGGAAGCCTCTTGTAGAGAACATTGTGGACTCGAGTTTTAAGGAATGTTAATTACTAAAGCAAATATCCAATAGGTTTCGGTCTGTACACATTTTATGTAAATACAATTTTATTCAAAAACAAAAGTATCCATTTTCTTAATTAATCAGGTATTGATAAAGCAATAAAATTATATGAAATATATTTTAGAAATTTATTTACTGGGCTCGTTCGAGTTATTTTCGATCATGTACTCTTCAGGTTTAAGAAATTTATTTCTCATAGGAATTAAACATTCATTGGTCTGAGAAAAACATTAACTTAAAGTAGATAAGTACTTGACTTAAAATAGATGAGTGCTAGAGCGACATTATGTGATCATTGTTGAGTAATCATTATTGTAAGAACATTGACAATTACATTTCAAATTCAAACTAACATAAAACAAAAATATGGATAATTTGAAAATAATTACATTGACAAATTCAAAACATTGCACACTTTATATTATTATTATAAGTACTATTGCATTCCACATTGAGTATTTATAAAAATAATAATATAAATTATATTGCCTTTTGTACGCCGATGATCAAGTCATACTTGCGCCGTCGGCGGCCGAGTTGCAAATGATGGTTACATTAATGAACAGGTCATTAAAAAAGAAAGGGGAATGATAGTGAACGCAAGTAAGACGAAAGTGATGGTTTTTGAAAGAGAAGAAAGCAAAACGGTATGTGAAATAAGAACAGAAGGAGAGTTAATTGAGCAAGTGGATGAGTTCGTATATTTGGGATGTGTATTCAGCAGCGGGAGATATGATAAGGATATTGAACGACGAGTGAATGGAAATAAAGTAAATGGAGCTCTACACCCTATTGTGAAAAGTCAGAATGTGTCAAAAAAGGCACGTATGGCAATTCACAATGCTGTACTAGTCCCTACTTTAACATATGGTAGTGAAAGTTGGGTGTGGCAGAAGAAGCACGAGAGTAGAATAAATGCAGTAGAAATGCGGTCGCTAAGGAGTATGTTAGGGCTGAATCTGAGTGAAAGGGTGAGAAACTGTGTGATAAAAGAAGAGTGTGGTTTGCAAGATGATGCAGTGACCAGGATTAAGAAAGGAATGCTTCGGTGGTTTGGTCATGTAG